TAGATTCTAAATTCCAATTTACAGGGTTATCATCATAGATGTATATATCTCGTTAAATAACATTTTTTATCACTAGATTTTGAATAACATAATTAAAATCACTGCAAAAATATAATATCATAACATGTATGTGAACTTGACATAGAAACTAAACAACAAAGTTTTAACACTATATATATGACTTCCAAATGTGAATACTTCATATTTACTTTTAAAAAATCTTATTGTTTGAAATATGTGACACTTAAAAACCATAGTCCATAAAAAATACCTTTTAGTCCATAGAAAATAACTTTTATGAATGATAAATGACCTATATTTTTTTTTTCTTATATATTTGATGACGATATAAACAACTATAAAAGGTGTGATGAAGTGAAGTTTTCTTACAGTAATTAGCAATGGTAATATATATATAGAAATATAATTTTACTACAAGGAGTGGCCAACAATGATTAAACACTATGAACTAACAAATAAGTTAAATATCTTGAAATAAACAGTATGAAATCGGCTATTGAACGATTCAACAAGGCCAAGATGGAACCGCAACAACAACTATTGAACCCTGCATCAGAAGTCAAGGTACGTATAACATTAATCACAAAACACACATGAGGAAAAGGCAATTATACTATTTAAGATTTGAATCATAATTTGTATCTTGCACTTACTTTGAGAGTTGATGAGTTAGATTGTCTTGCGTGTTGTAGTTTTGGCAGAGAGAGGCTACAACTCTAAGGCAAGAATTGCACTCTTTGCAGGAAAATCATCGGTATGGTTTTTTCGCTGTAAAGTTTCTTTTTTTGTTTTTTTGTAAAATTGGCGGATATGTTGTCTACTAGTACTTCTAGTTCGGGTCGAAAAAAAAATGTTTTGTATACTAGTTTTCATCTATTTCACTTCCGATGTGTCATTTCTAATTAAAATTCATATTTCTTATTTTTATTTAAATTTGTTCAGCTAAACTTTTTGCGCACTTAGCACATTTGTTCTTGTAGTCACCTTTTCTGGTGATAACATTCTAACATTCTAATAATAATTTCCTTTTGGATATATGTCAATGTAGAATGTATATACTCATGTGTATATGTGTGTCTTCGTGTAAACATGTCATTAAGGGCACAACAATTTGTATATGTAAAAATCGCAATGATCATTTGTAATGATGCAGACAACTAACAGGAGAGCATTTAAATGGTTTGAGCGCGAAGGATTTACATATTCTAGAGAGCCAACTTGAAATGAGTTTACGTGGAATTCGTATGAAAAAGGTAATATTGATCTCTCTGTATATATACATATATGTATACTCTAGCTTGTTTATCTTAGAGCAAGATATGTAAAGATAAGAGATTGATTGTAGAGCAACGAAATTCAAACTAATCAGTTTGTTCGAAACCTTGCAGGAACAAATTTTGGCTAATGAAATCAAAGAACTATCCAGAAAGGTCACTATATATGATATATATCAATTACCATTATAAGAACGATCAAACCCAAATGTTTTTATTTTTGTTTACATGATATTTATGGTCTTTTTTATCATACTTTCTTTGTAATTTGTGAACGGAAATACGAAATGCAAAATGTATTTCTTCTTTCTTTTTTGGTTTACAAAAAATCTTTTGTTTGATAAAAAAAAAACTAAAGATATTGTGTTTAACATTTTTGGTTTAGGTTAATTATGTTATGTTTAACCTTGAATGTAAATAAATATATCTACACATATAAACACATTTCTAGTTTTTTTTTCAAGTACGTATAACTGATTCATCTTTTGCAGAAGAATCTTATTCATCAGGAGAACCTCGAATTGTCGAGAAAAGTACAACGGATTCATCAAGAAAACGTCGAACTACACATGAAGGTAAAATAGAAACCCAAACCTTATTACTTTAAGTTGCAAATACATCCTTTGATTAAAAATCTCATAGTTGAAAACTAGACATATTATAGAGAGAGTTAACTATGAACATAAACGTTTATGTGGTCATTGATGGTCTTTTAGGCTTATGCAACGTCAAGCACAAATGGAGTGGGACATCGAGAGCTAGAAGATGCAGCCGATGAATCCCATGCACAGGTTAGACTGCAGCTAAGCCAGCCTGAGCAGTCCCATTATGAGACCCCATCAAAGAGCTAAGATCGTTAAAGATATTACATTTTGTTCGTTCTTGATTCTCAAAACCCTTCAACAATACATGCATATATTATTGTCATATCTAGTTTATAATTGTCAAGTGTTTTTATGACAGGACCAAAGTGCAAGTGTAATCATCTCGGAGAACAAACCAAATTTTTTGATTTTGTACGATAACTATGGTACTCAAGCCGTGGAGTAGCTTGTCTATTATATTCTTGTTAGCCTTCTCATTTGGTTTTAACTTTTAAG